GGTTAGAGTGGGAGAGAGCCAAAGCATAAGAAACTCTTAAAAACTGAGGGTTGATGGGGGGTGGGAGGGAGGGGAGGGGAGGTGATGGCCATTGAAGAGGGCATCTTTTGGGATGAGCACTGGGTGTTGTATGGAAACCAATTTGACAATAAATTTCATATATTAAAAAAAAATCTCTTTTGATATCAAAAAAGTAATGTTCAAGAGTCTAGAAAATCTGAAAATTAAAACAACATTGAATTTTGAACTTGAAAAGTCCATCAGGACATTAAATGAACTCTTACCACCTGAAAAGAAACCCGGTGATATCATAGATCCCTGTTGTTACAAAGACAACCAATTATTAAGAAGAACTTGACTAAATTTACGTGAGACAATAGAAAGAAAACATTAGATGTTCACTGGCTTAAAAGAAAACCTACTGCAAATTTAGTGCATATTAGCAACATAAAGAGGTTACCTGACTACTCGTTTCACTTATAGCTTCCAGGAGTTTCTCAACTGCTGCTTGTAGTCGACCGCTAATACTGAGCATAAGTTCTTCATTTTCAGGGTCTATTTCAGTTCCAGCAAAACCACTCCTCATGAGTTGTTCTGAGAGATCTGTCCCCTCTTCAGTTACTTTTGACCATATACTACTGTCATTTCTTGGCACATCACCTCCAGAATAAGAGGGTATAGATTCATCTGTAACTGGAATAACAGTATTTTAAAGGCATAAACCAATTATGTTTAGTAATTATAGTAAAAAAAGGTTATAAAATAAAATGAAATTAAAACCTGAAATCACTTAACTATAAGGTCTTTTTTTAAAAGGTCTTTTAATAACAACACTGCAACATAATAAATAGGCAAATACAGAATGTAGTATTATTTGATAACAAAGCAGGCAGGAGAAGAAGAATGCTATGCTAAGAGGGCTTTCTAGAAATTAATACTTGGGTTATTCAGTATTTTTTTTCTTTCATAAAAACTTTTAAAACAACTTTCCACAGGTATTTACTAAGTACCCGCCATGTAGGATTTACTAAGTAATGGAGACTTACAAGATCTGTTTCCTATCCTCAAGGACCATATAATGAGAAAATAAATACATAAACGACATGAAAAGAAAAATACTGCAATGGAATATTTCAGGTGTATGGAGGGATAGAAGAAGGGCTTGATTTTGTCTGGAACAGATCCTCTGATTTCTGAGCACAATACTGGGAAGCATCACCAGTTCAGGCTAGACAGTAAAAGGGACTAAGATCATTTTGCAGCTGGAAACTTTTGTAAGAGGTATACTACAAAGAGATTAGTAGGCTAATGAGCAGTACTCATTTAACTATGGACATATATATCCACATTATTCTCATTTTTTATTCAGACAAACTGAGTTGACACGGGCAGAGAATCTGGACGTGTTTTCTGTAAACTGAAATAAAAGCATAGGTTACTCATTGCTGTCATGGAACACGATACTCATCTGTGGCAGCACAATACAACCCAACAACAAAAAGTCCTAAAGAAGAATTTCCTATTCTTTTATTACATGTAGTATGTATTTCTTATCAGTAACTGTAGAAAGTTAACAAATTAACAGCAAACTTTAATTTCCAAAGTACTTAGAATATTCAGTTTGATACAGTCATCCAGGAGAATAAGAGCTATTTATTAAAATGTCTTGCTGAAGCAGCTGGTGTGTGCAGTTCTCTCACTCTCATGTATGAACAGTATTAGATACAGTTTCAGATGCAAGATCTGAATGCAGCACAGTTCAACATTCACTATGTACCTCCTCTATACAAGTCACTGGCTAAAGAATCCAAGACTGGATTCTAGGAAATGATTAAAAAAAAATTTTTTTTTTATGTTTATTTGTGAGAGAGAAAGAGAGACAGAGTGCAAGCAGGGGAGATGCAGAAAGAGAGGGAGACACACAGAATCCAAAGCAGGCTTGAGGCTCTGAGTGGTCAGCACAGAGCCTGATGTGGGACTTGAACTCATGGACCACAAGATCATGACCTGAGCTGAAGTCGGCCACTTAACCAACTGAGCCACTCAGGTGCCCCACCTAGGAAATGATTTTAAATGTTTGCTATCACATAGTTTATCTAATTCTTAGTGTAACAGCTAATACGATTTTCCCTTTGTATTTTTACTCTCAAAATTTAAAAACAGACAGCAACCAGACTAATATTTACTTATGTTATTCCAGGTATTCAAAATTGAATGTCTTGATAAGAGGGATCAATACTTTACAAGTATTCATGAGTTCAAAATGATCTTGGAATTCAAAATGAATTCATATAAAGTACAGTACAATGTATATTACAAAGTTACTAAACAAAATGAATGTAGTTCAGAAAATAAATATTTTTGAAAAAACTATGGAAGAAATAGTTTATAAGTGGTATTTAAAGCTAAAAATACATGTTATATAGCATCTTTAAGGAATTAAATGCATTCTACAGTGACCTTTTCTAATAAGTACAGAGAATCTGACAAATCAGAGGAAAGAGAATAGTCTGATACGATGGGGAGTCAAGGCTTTATGGAGTCAAAGTGTGGAGAGAAGCTGGGATGAGGTAGGGAAGACAGCAGAAGGAAGGGAGCTGGAAAGGAGGCTCGATCCAAGTTGTGAATGGTCTGAACTTTTATAGGAACCTTGGAGTTGTGCTATAAATTAATGAGGCAGTGAATGATTTTTGCACAGGAAGACATCAAATCTATAAATCAAGAAGCAAATTGTAGCAATGCAGAGGAAGGGATAAGAAGAGACTGAGTGTTAGAATAGATGAGAAGTGTTGAAACGTGAGATAAAGATGGGGGGGGAGGGTTGGGCACAGCCAGAGAAGATTAAATGCATACATAAAACTAGGGAGAAAGAAAAGTAGTAAAAGATGATCCTGGGGTTCAAGTGTAGATTGATTTGTAGGTGAAAGAAAAGTCATTAAGAGAAATACTCTGAAAGTCAGGCATAAAAAATGCCTTAAAGAAAAGTCATTAAGAGAAATACTCTGAAAGTAGGCATAAAAAATGCTAAGTCTGAATGGGCTGTGTAGAAAAGATGAGTCAACTTTTAGAAATTTGGGTCTGCAGAGACTTAGGAGTCATTTGTATTAACGTGAGAGTCAAAATCTTGAAAGTGGATACATTTATTTCATAAGCAATAAACAACTACTTTCCTGTTTCAGGAGAGAAAGAGGAAAAACATAGTTGGAGCCTCCATAGTAAAATAAACTTACAAAAGAATGTGTGTAAAAAAAGTCACAGAAAGACAAGGAGACAAGAAGAGAACATTGCAAAAAATGTAGAGATGTCAGTAATGTTATTTGTCTACAAACTCAAATAGGAGAAGGACTGAGAAGATAGTATTGGATAGCTGGGAGGTCACTGCTGTCCTGACAGAGAGCAACTGTGGTAGGAACAGGAACCGCAACTGGTAGAAGTACGGGTTGGTCTAACCCCTCATCGAGTCTGTCAAGGTTTATCTTGAGTGGGGAGCAAAGTTAAGAAGAACCAATGTACTTGAAAAAAATATATTATGAATATTATTATATTATGAATTATTTATATATTATTTTATATATATTAAAAATCAATAGTGAGGAAAACAATTGAAGATATTGTATACTAAATGGGAACAAATCTCAAGCAACAAACTACAAAAGACACATAAAACAAAATGGCTTATGAAAGGTCAGTGAAAGTTAATTTTTTCAAATGCTAATAAAAATTACAGATTAAAGTATCTTTTCTAAAAGATGAAGATGTCAACTAGCTTACTGTATTTTACAGTAACATGTGGAAGATATAAACAAATAAAAATAATGTGAGTATGTTCCAATGAAAAAATTGAATTTTTGTTTGTTTATTCCAATGCAATAAAAGACTGAGAAAGACAGCAAGTTTATGCTGCATTTGTAAGAGTTTTCAGGGGGAAAAAATCAGAAAAAAACATATATTAACAGGGCAATGTCATAAAATACCAATAGAAACCTCAGAATTGCCAGCCTGGTGAAAAGACTCATGATTTCAAATTGGTGAACCACTGATTTCTCTGCAGATAATGGTTAACACAGCAGATGATGGTTAAAGCATTTCCTTTAGCCATTTACTTTATGGACTTATACCATGTTCATTCCATATCTTCTCAGGTTAAGCAGGGAAGGTGATCTGATAGGGCATTCCCTAAACCAATGGCCTTCTGAAGATCTCTAGAGCCCTAATTGGAAACCACGGACTCTACTTTGCCTCTTATACCTCAGAGATGAGTGAATTGAACTGAAGCCCTGGGAGAGATTTGCCTCCAGATAAGTGAGAATCCAGGGCCTCCAGATAACTAACTAAGCGTTCTATCACATCACACTACTCCAAAAGGAAGATGCAGCAGATGAAACTCAGTGCTTGGCTACCTAAGAGAGAGGTATGCATTGTACCCCTGTGCCATTACAGTGCTGGCCTCAAAAAAATTTTCTTTCAACACATCCTAGGGGAACTCATTCTTATGAACTACTTTAAGATTCACTCAAATTCAAATAATTTGATACTGGCTCAAAATCTCCCTTCACTTTCATAAACTAGGTCCCTCTTATGTGGCAGCAAACATGAGCAAATCAATTATTTACTTTTTTAGAGAGTTAACAAGTCTATACATGTTTAAAATCTAAACAAGTTTGGACTTGAAAGCTGGAAATAAATCACAAGTGCTACTACCTACAGTAAAAAAAAATGATACATAAAAACTGAAAAGCAAATGATGCTTCATAATCAGATTAAGACTGAACTTTCTGTTATATTAAATAAGACATAAGAAATATTTCAATAGTTCCTTTTAGTTTTTACAATAATGCTTCCATGAAAAATATTAAGGAACATCAGAAAAAATTCTTATAAATGAAAGTGTCAATTTTTAAAACCAATATATTCTTCAAAGTTTATCAGAAAATTTAAAGTTTTAAATTATAAACTCTATTAATTCAATAGTCTCTTCAAGATGCAAAATGGATCTGTAAGTGTCCCCCAGTGATATTAATGGTCATCCTAATTAGTTTGATAAACACTTTTATAATAAGATCAAGAAAGTGTTACCTAATTCTTTCCTATACATCAAGATCCATTTGTAGAAATAAAATACCCCTGATTGAGAGCTTAACAAAAGGGTGACATTAATTTGAAAAAAATGCTTCTACAAAGTTTGAAAAGAATGAATATGACAGAAAGTTTAAAAATTCAGTATTATTTATAGGGCACCTGGGTGACTCAGTTGGTTAAGCACCTGACTCTTGATTTCGGCTCAGGTTATGATCCAAGGGCTGTGGGACTGAGCCGCGTGTCAGGCTCTGCACTGAGCGGGGAGCCTGCTTAAGATTCTCTCTCTCTCTTTCTCTCTCTCTCTCTTTCTCTCCCACCCTTGCCTCTGAGCCTCTCCCTTGCTTGCGTGCTCTCTCACTCTCTCTCTAAAAAAAACAAAAACAAAAAATTCAGTTATTATTTCAGCTCTTATTAAACTGATAAGAACAGATACCACACTTGATCTTAGCCAAAAGGCCAAGAAGCGATCTTCAGCTCTTATTAAAAGAGGTTTTTAAGGGATGCCTGGGTGGCTCAGTTAAGTGCCCAACTCTTGATTTTACTCAGGTCACAATCTCACAGTTCATGAGTGCAAGCCCTATACTGGGCTCTGTGCTGACAGCGTGGAGCCTGTTTGGGATTACCTCTCTCCCTGCCATCTCTGCCCCTCCCCCACTTGCGCATGTGCTCTCTCAAAAAAACAACAACAACAACAAAAAAACCCCAAAAAACACCTTAAGAAAAGAAAAGAGGTTTTTCAAATTATCTTTGTACTCCTCCAAAGAAGACATCCAGATGGCCAACCTACACATGAAAAAATGCTCAACATCACTCATCATCAGGGAAATACAGATCAAAACCACAGTGAGATTCTGACACCTGTCAGAATGGCTACCATTAACAACTCAGGCAACAACAGATGTTGGCGAGGATGTGGAGAAAGAGGATCTCTTTTGCATTGCTGGTGGGAATGCAAGCTGGTGCAGCCACTCTGGAAAACAGTATGGAGGTTCCTCAAAAAACTAAAAATAGAATTACCCTACGACCCAGCAACTGCACTACTAGGCATTTATCCAAGGGATACAGGTGTGCTGTTTCGAAGGGACACATGCACCTCCATGTCTATAGCAGCACTATCAACAATAGCCAAAGGATGGAAAGAGCCCAAATGTCCATCAATGGATGAATGGTTAAAGAAGATGTGGTATATATATACAATGGAGTATTACTTGGCAATCAAAAAGAATGAAATCTTGCCATTTGCAACTACGTGGATGGAACTGGGGGGTATTATGCTAAGTGAAGTTAGTCAGAGAAAGACAAAAACCATAGGACTTCAGTCATATGAGGACTTTAAGAGACAAAACACATGAATATAAGGGAAACAAAAATAATATAAAAACAGGGAGGCGGACAAAACAGAAGAGACTCATAAATATGGAGAACAACCTGAGGGTTGCTGGAGGGGTTGTGGGAGGGGGGATGGGCTAAATGGATAAGGGGCACTAAGGAATCTACTCCTGAAGTCATTGTTGCACTATATGCTAACTAATTTGGATGTAAATTTAAAAAAATTAAAAAAATTAAAAAGTTAAAAAAAATTATCTTTGTACTCAACTGAGGCAGTTTTACTTACAATTTCAAACTTTTCTCTGCACTTAGAAACATGCTACTGGCCAAACTGTAATCAGGTAAACTTTCTGTAAGTGGGATAATCTCTTTTCATTTCTCCACATGAAACTTCAACAAAATGCTCTCAAAAACTGTACATATTAGCACTCTTAGAAGGTTTGCCTCTAACTGGGGAGACATGCTTGGGTGTGGAGTGTACTACAGTATCTGAGAGTCCAGACTCTATCTTTTCCCATTTGACAAAAATTTTCTCACCCTTTGATTTCCTGATTCCCTTATCAACAAGGAATTAAAAAACAAGAGAGACTGGATGTCAGCAAGTGTGAAACTAAGAAATTCCAAGAAGAAATTCTGGCTCACATAGCTGGAAGAAGACAGAATTAGGAAGAGAGCTACATTCTTTCAGGACCCAACCTCTGGATCCACACATATTCTGTCACACTTCAAACTACTTTTCCAAAAGGAAGAAAGGAGCTAGCAGAGGACAGCCTAAAGATAAGTTCAAGCCTTGGGTTTCTTACAAAGACATTCTTTTAACCATTCTGAACAGATATGTGAAACTGATGCTTGATTCCTAAAACTCTTTATTTCTAATCTTAAAGGGTGGTTTCAGGATGTTGCCAATACCTCATGGATATTGGATATCTCATGGATAAAAGTCCTGAGAAGTGATGTAGAATTTTTCTTTTATTGGTGGAGAAATTAAATAGCCTCTGGTTTCTGTAGCACAGCAGTATTCCTGAGTATGTACAATAACAACTCTAAGACACCCACTTGCAAAACCTATACAATAATGGTGTTCTGAAAACAGTGGTTCCAAAATATGTGTCTGAAGATCTTTTTGTTGGAAACAACTTTAACATTCTCTCTTCCGGGTTTTAACACATAGCAAACTGCCTTGCTCTCAGAAAGATTTACGAGATAATGATGACAGTCTCAACAGCATATAAAACCAGTACCTCCTGTGTGTTCCTCATGGATACATGACTTTATAGGTGCTTCTCCTTCCGACCTCCAAATCAAGCTGGCAGATGACTGGACCTTACTAGATCTATCTAGAATACCAAGAACATGGCGACCAATTGTTTCTTCAACAGCTGCTGTTGTCTTTACAACTTCTAAGAGGATCTTGAGAAGTCTATTATTAGCTTTCTGGAGTGCAAACCTGTATAGAGAAAGAAACATTTATTAAAATGCTTAATCTTTTTGAAGCAAACACTGTGCTTATGTTCCACACAAAATGTACCACAAAATATCTGACTTGAATAATAAAATATCATGATATTCTCTATGAAAATAATATGCATAGCACTTAAAATGAAGTGCTTTTTTACAAATGTGCAGTACTTTACTGACTTTAAAGTAATGAAACACCTGACATTTTAAGGTAGTAGAGTTTCCAAATTAGAAGAAAATTTTAAGGAGATGCAAAAGTTGTTTTAAAAATTGTGGTAGTATCCAAGCATATGCAAGCTGATAGTACCATTTATTGTTCTTATACATACTTCACATTTAATCTTTCTATGTGTCAAACAATATAATTTAAAATGTAATAAAAAAATTCCACCAGAAAAATGTATTTCTACAACCTACTGGTGATAATCTAGATAATTAAATTACAAAAACAGGCAGAGACCTGTTTTTAACAAGATCTATTGTGCAATATCACTATTTGCCAACACCAGAGGAAGTATCATTTATTACATCTGCTACAGAGACAGAAATTTCTCCAGTTATATAAACCATATTCATTGCAGCCAGTAGAAGGAACCTATTTTCAACCAATTGGAATCAATGGTGAATCTCTCTTTTTTAAAAGATGTCAAACACTCTCATTTTCAAAAAATTAGAAAACACTGCTAACCACCCACTTAAATATCTCAGCAAAAAAATCAGTGTTAACATTTTAATGCCTCTCTTTCTAGATTTCCCCTCTGCCTCATAAATATATACATTTAAAAAACAAAAATGGAGTTATCCAGGACAAAGTGTCTTTGTAAGGTTTTTCTTTTTTTGCTTAACATAAACATCTTTTCATGTCAAGAAATATACTTCCATAAATGGTAATTCAGAAAATTATCTGATTAATCTTCTGAATAACTAAACAATTCTCTTATCCTAACAGCTTAAATCATTAAGAGTACTACAGTGGCAAACTTTATATTTAATACATATAGGTAGAATAAGAGACTTTCATGGTAAAGGTCCACTGCTTTAAGACTGTTTTCTGTCTCAGCTTCATACTGTGGGAGATCACCAACAGTCAGGTTAAAGGATATCTGTTTTCACCGGCACATGACATAACTATTTTTAGACAAGGTAATAAATGGGCAAGTTTTCCTTCAGTATTTGTCAAGTGAAAGAGACTAGTTCTATTTTTGCACCTATATCAAGTTCTCTGCTTACATGAGGTGAGGATATTAAAAATAAAACTCTAAGTAATTTAGTTAGTAGGCAGTAAATCAAGGGTTTTATTTAACTTTTTCTGAAGTTTTGTTCAAGCCCCAAACACATCAGGATTAGGACAACTTGAAAATATTTCTAAATCAGAGAAATGATTAAAATTAATATGATGGTAAAGAGAGATAAAATATGAATACTCATTTATTAGCACTCACTACAAAAATTCCTAAAAATTAAATACTGCATAGTTTTAAAAATATACCAATTAGAGATAAAGAATATAAAATAAACAAACTGTTTATTTTATATTGCCGTGGTAACTCTAATTTTCATACACTGTCTTTCTTGTTTGAGTTCCATACTGACTGTGTTCCATACTGATGATCCAATGGGGAAGCCAAAATCTTAGGGGCCAAATTCCTCCATGCAAGCTGAGGAAGGAGGTTAGGAGGACACAGAGGGTTGACAGTCACAGAAATTGGAAAAGGAGGAAATTAAGTTAGTAGATATTAATTTAATTTAAAATTAAAGAAATTATTTTCATTTGAACAGAACAAATTTTAAAATACTATGCCTACAGTTCTTAACATAGGGGTAACTATTCTTACTTAATATTTTACATTTTTATATTAACCTCTACAAAATCAAATCAGGGAAAGTTTTGTTAACTCATTAATTTATTCATGATATAAAAGTGGGATCTATCAAAAGTGGGATATGGATTGAAAGTTCTCATCTGATATGCAATAAATCAATGAAAGAAGCTAACTGTAGACTATCACACTTAATTTTTTTCTCATCACAAACAAGGGAGGTGGCTTATATTGAATGTACGTCCATACAGTGAAGAAATACACACATGTACAATTGTGTTTTTAAGGATAAAAAATAGCATATGAGCAGAATAAAATTAATCAAGAAAGGTTCAGTAACCAAATAATGCCTTACCATTTACTGAGATAAGTACATGACTAGTATCGAATCAAAAATTACTTTATATAAAAAATATTTTTAAAAATTTGCCTATCAAAGGTTGGTAATTCTTTACACACAGAGTAAAATGGACAAAACAAATGTACAAGATCAAAACAAGGACAAATAAAGTTTATCACACTGAAACAACTATTTTAATTCCCTCTGTACTGAAAAAATACACATTCTGTATACCTTTCATTGGTCAGAATATCAGGAAGCACATCTTCAGGTTTTCTGTCTAACTCCTTTTCTTTAAATGCCTGTTCCTCAACTTCCTCCTGGTTTTCATTTCCGTTCTGTTTAAGGTTGTGTAAAGGTAGAGAGGACAAAAGAGAAAGAAAACCTGTCATCTTGGAAACACCATGTCATTCTTCTAAAGTGCTATAAAGTGAAACAGAAACCTCTGTGTGCAAAATAGATAATCTTTGAAATAATATTTAACTACATTTTATTAAGAGATTAGCATTATCAAAAAAGCTAAGGCAGCCTAATACACAGATGAAAAGTTTCACTGGGTTCAGGCTAACGCATGCTGTAGTGTGACATCCAGTTTGTTAGGCTGCTCCGTGGTGAAGCAACAGCTGCTGCTACAGCAATGTCTGATTCAAATTACCTTAAATGGAACGTAAAGAATCTTGACTCCACCTACCTGGCATGTAAACAATCACAAATCTGTTAAGCTCCACACCCATAAAAAATATATTTCCCACGGACAACAAAGACAAACAGATCCTACTGCATGTTGACCCCTGGACCCTAGGTGGGCCCGAGTCCATACTACCTGTGTTTGCGTACTGCTGTTGCGCAGCTCACAACACAGCTTCTCTCTTCCCGCTAGAGACAGCTGCTTTAGTGCTTCCAGCTCCTCTAAAAGCACCCTTTCTCTCTCTGAAACCAGGTTTTCATTATCTATTGAGGATCTCTAAATAAGAAAAAAGGTCATGAGAGAATATTGTTTGCGATAGAAGAAAAAAGCAGAAATAACAAGCAGATTTCTTTTAACCCAGGGACCAAGAGAAGGCACTTTCTACATGAGTCACATCCCATGATTAGGGGTTAAAAGCGTATATAAAGTTCAATGCAAAATTTGAAAGTTAAAATAAAAAACTAGGGCTAGAATATTCAGGAATTTGTGAAGCTCAATTAATAGTATATTCAAAATGTCAATTTTGCATTGAAAATTCAGAAATTTAAATTCACAAAATGCGATGAAGAAAAGCAAAATCAATTTTTTCAAATGATGTTTTATGTTCAACTGCCAATTTTCCTATTCTATATCGGAAAGAACATGTTTTAAGTTTTCTCTATTTTTTATCTCTTAAGTTTTCAAAATAAATGGAATAAATTTGTTTTTATAGGAACTTTTGTAAAAATATTTCTTGCTTTTCTGTAATGATTTTGTGAGTATACTATATACAGCAATTGATAAGAATCCAGCTCCCAAATGCCAAGGAGTCAGAAAAAGGGATGAGAACGTTATATAAATTTGCATTTCTCAAATCAAGAAGAGATGTTTCCCTGGAGAAAGTCCCAGAAACATACTACTTCAGATTTCCATTCATGATTAAAAAGATAGATTAAAGATAAAGGTAAACCTTGGAAATGCTAATTGGTGGACTCACAAAACTGTAAATGAATATGGGAAAACGGAGTATCAACTGCACCTCAGCACAAAGAATTTCTGTCACAGAATACTATCACCGTGCTTTTGCGTGTATGATCAATGGAATGATTAAAAACAAATATACAAACAGCCTTGTAGCCACTTTTCCAATGCCTAAAAAGGCAGATAAATAAAATGGCACAGACGCAATGCACTCCAAGGTTGAGTCAGGTGTTCCTAACAAGATCTAAGGCTGTTGTGCTGATGGAGTCTGTTCTTAATGTTAAACACTTGTTTTTATTCAGATCTTGGCAATAGTTTTGACTTTTTAAATAAAGGCTATCTAAAGAATACTGTTATTTTAATTGGGGAGAAAAGAGATGCTAAGTCTCATACCTGGGCTAATTGTCTATTCAGTCTCTTAATCTCTTCTTGTAGCTGTTCCTGGTCTTCTCGCTGTCTCTCCATCTGGCGCATGTGTGCCTGCCGTAACAGTTCTGTCGCCTGTTGATGTTCTTGGTATTGTCGCACAAGTTCCTGCCTCATATCTTCCAACTGTTCTTCATTTAACATTAGTTGTCTAGAAGCATCCATACTTGATACCAAAATTTCATCATGAATCTAAAAAGGTAGGAAAAAAAAGGCAATCATAAAACATTTTGTGGCAATCTGTCAGCATCAATATTTTAATATAAAAGCAATTCCACTACTAAAGTGCCTAATTTTTATTCCCATTATTTAACTAAAACATAAATTTAAAAAAGATATCTGTCTTAATTATAATTCTAAATCAGTGTGAAGTTTATTATCATTACACATGTTATTCTCCAAAAGCAAAATAGCTATTTGTCAGTTAGTTTAAATGCAATCTAAGGGAGAAGAATAAAGAATAAAAATCCTCAAAATGCCTTCTGCTCTTAATGAAGCTGTAGCTCCCTTATCCCTCTTGACATTTATGATGGGGAGATAATATAAATGGAATACTTGTAATTTAAAATTAAATTTATAAAACATGAAAAATTTTACCTAATTTATATTATGCAGTGGTCACCACAGTACTATAGACAACAATATAACATATAAGAATATATAACAATCTATAAGAAACAAATTTCAATAATTTTCCTTTGGAAATAAAAGCTTTATGTTCCACTTTCTCATACTCATTAGAAATCAACTCCTTAATGAATTTCTATAAGTACTTCAGTTCCTGAAGCACTCTGCCTTGAACAGCTGCTGGTACATTAAAGAGGTTTTCACAAGTATCTCAGTTTTGTACTTCATAAAGAAGTTGACAATTTTATTTCAGTATGCCTCTAAACACGATATAACCTATCCTGAACATTAATAAAAAATTTTAATTTAGATAATTAAAAAAAAGGATTTCTTTCTTTCCATTAAAGGCACAGGCAGTTGTAGTACAGACACAGAAAAGATCCTCCATTAATGAGTAAGTATAGAAGAAGAGAAATAGTATTTACAGAGTACAATGCTTTAAATTATCTTCTTAAACAGGAAGCTACTTCCATGTGATGTTATCATCACATTAAATGAAGCAAACCTTTTATTCAGACATATTGTAGGATAATTAATCTTAAACTGACTGAAACAAAATTAATGTACATATAATTTACAATGAGATTTTACCATGCATATGTCTAACATAAACAAAAATATTATAAGCCAGATTTATTTTATTTAATAAAATAGTAAATCAATAGTAAATAGTAAATCATATTCATATACTTTACAAGTAATAAAACACATTCAAAATGCAAATCCCTAAGTCAAGATTGGATCTGATACTTTCCTTCCCCATTAAGGAATATTACTGCTAATATTTTTATAGTGAAGGAAGTCACAAATTTTTATACAAGGAAATCTACTTACAGATTCTCTGACTATAAATGTTTTATCTTTGGAGAACATTTCTTCTGAAATAGTCAGTTCATGGTCTTCCAATTGTAGTGTATCATCAAGATTACCATCGGTTGATAACAGAACTTCCTTTCCATTTTCTCCTAACTCCTTACTAAGTGGTTTAAATTCTTCTTTAAATTTCATGTCCATTTCTTCAAAAGCTTGACCCTGTGATGATTTCGTTTCATTTAAATAACCTTCTTGCTGATAGAAAGCATGTGCTTGTTTTGATGATGTAGTATCCTCTTTTTCCCCAGATATTCTAGACAGTTCAGTTTGTTGAGCAAATGCTATACTCATTGACACAATGACCTAAAGAAATAAAGTAAATGAAAAGGATCAGATTTATAAATACCAACAGGAATTTAAAAAGCAAGTTACCACTCAAAATGGTTTTAAACTAAAAGAAATCCTACAGAAAGTGATATGGAGAGATTCTCATACCTTCAATCTTCTCTAACTTGTGGTCAAGATCTCAAGACTAGCTTTTACTTTAATTTCCTGTCTTGAACCTGACCTGCTTGTCTCTTTGTCTCTCAATACTAAGAATGCAACAAAGACAAAAAGATTAAAAATATTAAAAATATGAAAGAGAAGCAGAGTGAAAGATAGAATGAGAATATTCAACCAACATCTCATTATTGTTCTAGAAGCATATATTAGAGACTAACAGAAATAAACTATTTCATGAAGTAACAGGTGAGAATACCAAAGGTACTACTCCTAAGAGTCAAGACCAACGAATTTTGGAAGGACAAATAAAGAGAAGACCAAGAACAAATAATTCTTAAAGTTTCCAGAGAAAAAAGATGTATTACCTATGGGGAACAACAATTAAAATGACAAGGACTTTCTCACTAGAAACAAGAAGGAGTCAGAAAATAATGAAATGTTATCTTTAAAGTTCTGACAAACAAAACGTCAACCCAGATTTGAATGTTCAACAAAATCATCTTTCAGGAATGAAAGCAAAATAACATGAAATAAAAACAAATAAAAACAGAGTTTATTCCCAATAAATAGATGATCCATAAAAGAACTTCTAAAGGATGTCCCTCAAAAAGCAGAAAATGATGCTAGAAGGAAGGCATAAGATGCAGAAAGGATGAGAGTATTAAAATTTCTTTTTGTAAATATGTGGATAACCTAACACTGATGGGTATAAAGCAATAGTTCTATCTAAATTGTGAAATAAAAATACCTAAGACTGAGACTTGTAATTCCAATTAGCATAAATTAAACCCACTACAGCCTCTCTCCCCCATTGATTACAATTGAAAACTGAACAAAATACAAAAGCAACTACCAGAAAACTCTGAGAAGTAAACAAAAGCAGGCAAATTGCAGAGGGAGTCAAAACTTGAAGAAGAAATCTGTATGGGGAAGGTGAGAAAGAACTTGTGGCCTGAACCTAAATGGGTTGTCTATTTAAAAAGCATTTTTTTTCACACTTTCCAGAACATCCTAAGACTCAGCATCTACACAATATTCAAAATATTCAATATATAATTCAAAATTAGATGACATACAATATGTTGTATGTCAAATTTGTTGCCAGCAGATTTGCTCAAAAAGAAATGCTACAGTAAATTTTTCAGGCTGAAGGTAGTAATACGAGAGGAAAACTTCTAAAGTCTGAGCAGCAGAATACTCATTCTTTTCAAGTATGCATGCAGCATTCAACCAGAACATATTTAAGGCAATAAATTTAAATAAACTGAAATCATACAAAGTATGTCTGACCACAAAGAAATTAAAAATTATACAATGAATTAATTAACAACAGGAAGATATCTGAAACCCCTAAATGTGAAAATCTAAACAACACATTTCTGAGTAACCCATGAATCAAAGGAGAGGTGACAAAATAAATCAAATATTCAGACTGAATGAAAATGTGTAGAACGCAGCTCAAAGGAGTGCTTAAAGGGAAACTTACAGCATTAAATGAATATATTTGAAAAGAAGAAAGGTCTTTTAGGAAACCAGAAAAAGAAAGCAACTTAAACCCAAAGCAAGCAGAAACAAGTAAAAAATAAAGAAAAGCAATCAATGAAAATAAAACAAAAACTTTTTAAAACACCCAAAAGCTGGACCTTTGAAAACATCAATACAATTAACTTCTAGACAGAATGACAAAGAAAAAAGTGAGAAAGCAGACATTAAGTGATAAAGGAATACTATAAACAAATTCACCAACGTAAATTCAACAGCATAGATGAAATGGAGCAATGCCCTGAGTGACATTAACTAACAAAGCTCACTCTAAAGAAACAGTTTGCTTGAGTAAAACAAAATCTACTAAAAAAATCAGATTCATAGTTTAATAAAATCTTCAACAAAACTCCAGGCCCCGTTAGTTTCACTAACAAATTCTATACCATATTTAAGAATAAAATAGTATCAATTCTACATAAATTCTTCCAGAAAATAGAAGTGAGAATATATTTTAACACTTTACAAGGCCAGCATTGACCTGATACCATAGCCAAACAAAGACATTACAAGAAAATAAAACTATGGATGATGCCCCTCATGAATACAGACATAAATATTCTGGACAAAATATTAGCAAACAGAATCAAGCAATATAAAAAGGAGACTGTCTACAAAGGAACATGAAGAAACTTTAGGGGTCATGGATACGTCTTATATCTTGATTATGCCGTTGGTTTCATACATCTGTTAAAACTCACCAAATTTTGCAGTTGGAACCTGTGAATTTCATGGTATGTAAATTATACCTCAGTAAAGATAATGACAAACAACAAAAATCTGACCATATGTTAAGTCACAAAAGAAGATTCTGAAATTTTGAAAAATTTGTACAATAAGAATCACTTTCTTTAGATCAGAAATGAGTAACAGAAATAATTAAAAGAATGGTATGGTCTGGAAACTAAAAAACTCAACTAAGGACTCAACTACCTTGTTATTCTCTCCTTTCCATTTCACTATACCATCTAACCAAATTCCACCTGTGATTACAGGGAACTGCCTACTCTGTGCCTGTGTAAGCTAAACTTAGATGAGGAGGAAAAAAAATCCAACCAAGCTGAACAGTGTTATTTTAAATTCATAACTACTACCCTTGATTGAGTCCTTCAGGATACTGGGCAATTCTACTCAATTTCCCTGGTCTTTTCCTTCTCCTAGAAAGCCCTCTCTCCTTAAAGCTTCAATGTCTTCCCTTCCTTTCTCATTCTCAGGTGCTGACCTTGCTTCTTTTTTAGTGAGAAAACAGAAGCAATCAGAAGAGAACTTCCACAGGCTCCAAATACCGTATCTGAAAACATTCTGATGAACCAAATATTCTCTGCCTTCTTTCTTGTTATCATGGATTAAATCGCCATGCTCCTATCTAATGGCAACCCTCCAGGGCATTGTACCTCCTCTCCTCTAATCAGGGACACTGCTCCAACAACTGTCTCTCTCTCTCTCTCCTGACTTAGTGAATTTTTTTCCTTCTCTCCTCAATAATTATTATTAACAAAGAAATATGACATCTTTCTTCTTAAACAGAAACAAATTACCAACAACAAAAATCTGCTGCTTGACTCTCTACATTATCCTTGAGATACCACTGTATTTCTCTGTTCCTCTTTCAAGTAAAACTCTAAATTTCATCTCTTTATTCTTCCCCTTCACTCTCTCAAATCCAATCTAATCAGTTTGTCTGCACCACCCCATCAAATGTGTTCCTGTGAAACTCACCAATGATTTCACATTGTAAAATCCAATAATTAATTTGCAGTTCTAATCATTCGTGATGTATCAAAAACATTTGACACAGTTTAATAAATTCTCTTCTTGATATATTTTTACTTTTGTTTTTCCCATATTTAATTTACTGCTTTTTCTCTATCTTCTTTATTCCTCATTTCTCTGATCTCTAAACATTGGTGTTATTCAGGCTCAGCCCCCAGACCTCTGCTCTGTCTACACTACTACATTAATTGTTTTTCAAATTTTTTCACTGCAACCATGGTAAACACACACAATAAAAACATTTTATGTTTTGACCCAAAGCACACATACATTTTGTGTGTATTTATATAATTGAACTTTCCCAGTATTTTAAAATCCTGGTCCAAAACCAGGATTTCATGCTTCAAAAACGAGTTGCAACTCACAGTTTGAAAAACGTTGCCCTATTTACCACCCTATTTTCATGTCTAGTCTTAACCTATTTTCTGAACTCTAGATATGTATATCCAACCACTTCTTCAATATTTATTTTTAAACATTTACTAAGTGTTTGCATTTAATGGTTTTTTTGGTTTTTTTTTAGTGTACAAGCAGGGGAGGGGCAGAGAGAGGGGGCCAGAGAATCTGAAGCTGACTCCATGCCGACAGCAGCAAGTCCAATGCAGGGCTCAAACTCACAAACCACGAGATCACGACCTGAACCAAAGTTGGATGCTCAACTGACTGAGCCACCCAGCACCCTAATGGGTCTGAATTCTTAAGCTAAAATCTCAAGTCTATCTTTCCTATCCAAAAACTACTCTCTTGCAGTCTTTTCTGACACCTAATAGCAACTCCATTCTTCCAGCTGCTTATGTCAAATAACCTAGAGTAATATTTTCCCCCAGCCCTTGCCCCTTTTCCTTTATTTCTTCTTCCTCCTGTACCCAGTCACATTTGCTAAGAAGATAAATAATATTTCACCAAATAGGTCCCCTCACTGTGGGGTGGCAGGACTAAAACTGTCCTCTCACTCAGCAGAGCTGGCAGTTGGGCAAGTGGCCTTTACACTCCTGCCATTCTTCTTGGCCACCTCTTTGAAACATTCACTGGTGTAATTCTTGACTTTTTCTCTTGCAGTCCACTTTCTCAAAAGATACTCAATCCGTTACCTTCATGATTTACTCTCCCACTTCCTTCAGGTTTTTTTTCTACTATCACTCTAAAAGTGAGGTCTTCTGTGATAACCCTATATAAATAACACCATCTCAACTCCCCATGGAATTTCCTAACAGTTCTATTACCCAGGTCTGTTTTTCTTTTCATGGTATTTACCACCATCTTTCTGCACCAACTAGATACAATGTAAGGTCTATGGGAGCAAACACTTCATTTTTTTTTTTACCTCTGCTATACCCGAACACTTGGAATATTGCCTGGCAATGAAATGCAAATAAATGTCTATTTTCAGTAGTAGGTATACAAATCACAGGTTGAATCTAATGTGATCTATATTGGGAATCACTACCCCTACTGGGCTTCCTATATACCCTGTGTTTTTGAAGCAATGGTTCTCAATCTTTTTCCAACAATCCCACCTAAAGAGTATAGTATACAGCATAATCCCATCAGTACTGGTGGCTCATGTCAACAATCTACATTATTCTAGGATCAAGCTGGGCCATCAAATGTTATCCCTTGGACCACTGTACCCTGGACGTCTTCAAAACGGTTTTCAATGACTTACATTTTGGTGCTCTTGTTACCTGCTTAAGATGAATGATGCTTTACAAGACATACTTCTATCATCATCATTACCAGAGTAATAATATGATCACTTTAAAAGTTTCATTTATGAGTCTATCATCTAGTAGGTGATTTATATTTATATTAGGTCACTGAATCCTTATAAAAATTACTTATTCCTATTTTTCCTTCTTTTAAAAAATTTTTTTATCTTTATTTATCTTTGAGAGACAGAGAGACACAGCATGAGCAGGAGAGGGGCAGAGAGAGAGAGGGAGACCCAGAATATGAAGCAGGTTCCAGGCTCTGAGCTGTCAGCACAGAGCCCGACGTGGGGCTTGAACTCACAAGCTGTGAGATCATGACCTGAGCTGAAGTCGGACGCTCAACAGACTGAGCCACCCAGGCGCCCCCTATTTTTCCCTCTTTTAACAGAGCAAATAGACTCAGAAGTTAAGTAATATTCCTAAGATCATAAGGAAACCCGAAAACAAGAAGTAAGCCCGAAAAACAAGAATTTAAAGCATGGTATATCCTATACCAAACCTCATGCTCTTAATTGCTATGATGCCCTGCTGTAACATTCCACTTGAGAAATTTTTCTAAGAGCTAAGTGCAAGAGAAAATCTGCATTTCTCTAAAGAACTAGATAATGAGAGCTATATAAGCAATGGTGACTTGCTTTTTACTTTGATCTCCAGGAACTAAACATTCAATTCAGACACAGAAGTGATTAAGTCCATATGGCCCACATATTTCCTTGAGTGCTGACTTCCTCTTCTAATTTATGTTTAACCTAACTCCTTATGCATTTCCTGTATAATTGATCAATTCTCCTCTTTTAAAATGCATATATCCACTGGGATTGTTATATTGAAACAGTTGAAATATTATTAAAAAGCAGAAAAAGTCAGAATTCAACTGTTCCAATATAAGAACCCAATCAGGTATATCCATTTTATTATTTTTTTTATTTTTAAAGTTTATTTATTTGAGAAAGGAGTGTGTGCGCACACGCGTGGGAGACAGAGAGAGAGAAAAGGAGAGGGGCAGAGAGAAAAGAGAATCACAAGCAGGCTCCACTCTGTCAGCATAGAGCCTGATGCAGAGCTTGAACCCATGAACCACGAGATCATGATTGAGATCATGATCAAAATTGAGTCAGTCAACTTAACTGACTGAGCCACCTAGGCACCCCAGATATATGCATTCTGAAAGGGAATACAAAGACAAAAGAAATGGAATCATAATGGTAGATTAGGTGATATGCTTGGTATTCAAGAATTTAAAAGAATGGCTCTGGGCATAGCACAGCTAAGAGTATCTACAGTCACAAACATCACAGTCACTTCTCAAGGAAGAGATAGGCAAAGAAAATATATAAAAGACAAACCACCTTCTTTCTCATTTCCTACCATATCCCCTACCTTTAAAGGAAGGCCAAACTCCATCACAAGGTACTACTCCCAGGTAACAAATTTATAAAGACTTGTTTGGGCATTCTGAGAAGTTTCTGATTACTATTCCACATCAAGAAGAAAATATTTTTCTAAAGGAAAAGTTCACAGAATATTCCATTGAAAGGCAATTGTGGTTGATACCAGTAACTGACAATTTAAAGATAATCTATGTACAAAACTTGTTAACAAAAAGTGCAGGGGTGCCTGGCTCAGTCGGTGCAGCACGAGACTCTTGATCTTGGGGTCATGAGTTTGTGCCCCATGGTGGGTGTAGAGATTACTTAAATAAATAAAACTTGGAAAAAAAAAAGGTCATTACTATCAATAAAATCTATGTTTTCTGAAGGCTCAAAAGGAATATAAATCAAAATAATCTGACAAACTATAAACTTACCTTAGCTACTTCTTCTTCTAATCGTTCTTGGTACTGTTTTTCCAGCAATGTAACCATATTTGTTTCCTTTTTCACTCCAAATTCATCAGAAAACTAAATTAAAAAGCAAAATGTAACAGACTTGTTTATACTAATCATACATCACTTATTTTTAAACTTCTACGCTCAAATATCCTCAAAAGATCAACGTTTCTTAGAAAACTGAGTTTTAATAAGTAAATTTCAGTTCTGCTCTTAATTAAAAACGATAATTCTGGTGAATAATTCTAGTGTAGAATTCTAAATAACCTACTTAGTATTGTGAACTTAAAGATGCAAAGTCAGAAATATATCTACATATTTACAATTACTAACATAGTTCTACAGTAGGTTAAAGATACTTCTTAAATATAATTAAGATATGTATCTAATTTTCAGTAATGCTAACAGTGGCTATCTTTGCTTATGAAATTATAAGCAAATTTTATTTTTTTCTTGATGTTTATTAATAGTATCCATTTCCCCACAAATACAAACTACTTTTGTAACTAGAAAAAACTATAAACGGTTTTTTAAAATGTAAACATATTTTCAGCATGAAAGTATTTGTTTACCAATTACCTGAATGGCATTCAAATAGATACTCCATATAGGAGGAGTATGGTACAAACAAGATATGTAGCCAACATCTCTCCTCTGTTTCCAAAACAAGAGAAAGCAATGATTTTTGTTTTCTATATGAGTCAAGAATTAAAAATCCAATGAATGAAGACCAGGGTTTTGTAGTTATAAGTTTCAGAAAAATGGCCACAAATTGGTAATATATACAATGTTGAGGAGAGACAGAACGTGATTTAGCTAGCTGGCCGACACTGTAAAAGATGAGGGGCTTTTATACATCATATGGCATGTGCTCAAGGAAGCCTCAACTATCGTCCTAGCCATAGCATCTTGAATTATGGGGATCCCTAAACACTATTCTAGAGATAGTCTGACTCAACTTCCCATAGTGGGACGAAAAGTTGTTGGCAAGGGTATGAAACTAATTTTTGTTACATAGCTCATGTCACACAAAACAAGACAAATTTTAAACCAGAACATATTTAGGGGGAAAAAACTCTCAATTTTAACTTTGTGTTATTCCTATGCTATGAAAATACATTAAATTTTTTTGCTTATATATTCTTCTGGGTCTTTTACATAATGTGTTATCCTCTTATTTATTATGCTTACTTCTTAACAACGCTTTTACTACGGACATAAAAATGACAGAGAAACAGTATCAGTGCACACAACAGTTTAAAAATATAATACCTCTATTGTACCATCAATGTTCTGGTTAAGACAACTTCCAGGGTATACTGTTTTCTGGACATCAGATTCAGTAATTACCATTGAATCACTGGAGAAACTAAACATGAATAAAAGAGAGTGAACGAATTAAGAGTTGTGTACGAGTTTTACTGTTAGTCCAAACTTATAGCATGCATAGTTATAAGTACTGTAACTCAAACTGTATTGTTGACTGATTTTTCCAATTAAAATTAAAGTAACACACTTCAATGACAGAGAACTTCAACACATCACCACTGAATTTTATGCCATTTTAAGAAGTGTACTACAAATATATGACATGGAGCTATTTACAGGTAGAGACATTTTCTAAAAGTTATCTATGCTATTACTGAGTAAAAGCCCATAAAAGCTCATTTTTATTAAAAAAACTATTTATACACACAAACAGAAAAAAATCTGGATGAATAGACATCAAAAGTAACAATGATTATCTCTAGTGGAACTGGGGAGCAGAGGCAGCAAAAAGAAGGTTCTTAATTTATACAACCACTTCTACATTTTTTTTTGTTTTTAATCTATTCATGTATCTTTTGGCATTTGCGTCTTTATTCTGAATTGTTTTACAATCATTATTTTGTAAAAAAAATTTTTTTTTCTTAAAATGCTTAAGTTGGGTCATAAAAATAAAGTGAGATTAATATTTAGCAACCATGGGATAAAGATTAAAGGGGCAAATTATAATTTTGTTTTAGCTAATACAATTTCTCACTTCACTTTTAATGTGCATCCACACTGCCTTCTTTATTCCACTCCCCTTTTGCCCAACTCCTCCTTTATTTCTCCTATCCTCTTCTTTCATTCTGTCCCAAACTGGCCAGATATAAGTTATCATCATCCCATTTCCTGACTTATATAACTAACCCACTACTGATAAACATTTGGTTGTTTCTAAATGTCCACTATTACAAATAATGGTACAATATCAACCCTCATAACATCTATGGACTTTCTGTATTATAAATCTTATAAATATTTAAAAATTTAATATAATGTCACATTCCAAAAAGTTACATTAATTTTACTTCCACAACAGTTATCATGTAAGTATTTATTCAAAACTTCAGCAACTCAAAGTTTTAAAACTTTGTTAGAACATTTCTGTTTTTGTTTTTGAGATTACATATCCTTCAGCTTCCATTGGCCATATAAGTTTCTTTGGCTGTGAACTGCCTATTTGTGTTCTTTGTTCATGATAAATGATTGTAAAAACTCATCTCCCCTGTCTTTCTTCTCTGTCCTTTCCTGGTTCTTCTGTCTCACAATTCTGTCTGTTTCCTTACTGTCTCTTGCACACACTATTCTGATCCTTGGCTCCATATTTTGATTCTTTTTTTCATAGCTGAGAAGCCCTCCTGATTACTTTGGGTCTATTAAGACCCAAATTCTAATAAAAAAATTCGACTTAGTCCACAATTTCATTCTATGGCTTTATAGCATTTGAAAGTGTTCATCCCAAATTCAAAATATAGTCTGGCTAAAACCAAACTCACTGCTCCCCTCTTAATATTAAGCTAACTCTCCACCAGCCTAATTTCTCTATTTTATATTAATGTATCATTATTCTCCATATTCTCTAGCTCATACAACACAGTGTCATCTTTGTTTTTCCCCTTCTCTTTGTTCTCAACATTCCTCCTTCTATCCCAACATCTCATAGTCATCCCTTCATTTCCTTTTCCTCTGGAACCACTCCAATAAGCAATTATCATAAAAATGTGCAGTAAAAGATGCCACACAGACATGGGTTTAAATTCCAGCACTTTGGTTGTTATCACCATGTTATATTCCTTAACCACTACTTCTTAAAAATTATTATTTTGTGAATAAGTACTATTTCAATGATTAGACTGAAGTCACTTGAGGGAAAAGGCCACTTAAATACATCTATAGCTCCTTCCATGGCTTCTAGCTAAGGCCCATCCCAGTCATTGTTTCATTTAATCCTCACACTCTTAATGGTAGTTTTATTGTCCCTCATATTACTAAGACATGTTAAAATAATCTGCCAAAAATTGTATAGCCAGTAAAAGGTTAAATCAGGTGTCAAATGCAGATCTGACTCTAGTCATTCCAATCCTACACTATATCCCTAAGAGGCTCCTAGTATATAACATCTCCAAATACATGTTAAATGAACGACTCAATTATTTTTTTAAACAAGTTCAAATCTACTTTAATTCAAACAGCATCATAGTTGTATCCAAAAATGCGATGACATTTACAAGAAATAACTTTGACTCATCACTATTAGCAGGAGTGAACATGGTCCTTAGTAACCTCTGTTTTGGGGAGTGGGAGAAAACTAATGGTTTTAGTTGAAAGGTACTGTCAACACACTTCCACTGAATATTCTAGAAACTCTGAGAGAGGGTGGTGAGCTGACAAAAGCCCAACTGTAGTAACAGCAAATAAGTCTACATTTCCAAAAGACTCCCTTTTCTTCACACTTTAGAGAGAAAGCATCACTAATTAAAGGAAGGCTATATGAAATACTGTAGCTGATTGTTAGAGAGTTCTTGCTATCTACTTATTTTCTTTCATATCAGAAAACCTAGAGTGGTGGTTTCCAAACGTCAATTCATGGACTTTCTGTATCAGAATTATTTTGTTACAAATACACATGTCCATGGTCTATCTCAAAGCTGTTAAGTCTGACTCTCCAAATGTACAGTCCAGTAATCTAATTTTAAGTATTCAAAAGCCTCCAGTGTTTCTGATGCATGGTCAAGTTAAAGAGCTAATGATCTCAAATGAAATGGGAGCTTTAGAAGGCTGTGCCAGGCTGGGCAAATGATTCCACAGCCTACAAACAGACCCTGAATAAAAGAAGGAGGAACAGACTGCTTCCCCAAAAGTGTGGACATTCAATATCTTGTCTCAAGGAAAGAAATGTTTTTTTGTCTTGAGGTCCCATTAGTAAGTGCCTATGAAGACAGTCCTAGAAGAGCAGAGCCAGCCAAAGTTAGATGAAATCTCTGAACACTGCACAGAGCTAAATATTATAGCACACTCCCCAACTAAATTATGAACTGTTCGTTCATTCATTTAACAAATATTTACTGAGCACCTACTAGCAGAGGGAATAATTACACGGTCTGGGACACATCAATGACTCAAATGGGCAAAAATCCCCACCCTTACAAAGCTTGAAGTCTTTCATAAAAGAAAGACACTAAACAAAACAAATAAAATCAAACTCCCCTGTAAATATATATAAACTTGGTTTTCATCTTATACATACATACCTTTATATATATATAACACATAATATTAATATAGAAAGAAATGATGCAGGAAATTAGCGTACAGAGTTCTAAAGAACAATTTTAATTTATTTTATTTATTTATTTTTTTCAACGTTTATTTATTTTTGGGACAGAGAGAGACAGAGCATGAACGGGGGAGGGGCAGAGAGAGAGGGAGACACAGAATCGGAAACAGGCTCCAGGCTCCGAGCCATCAGCCCAGAGCCCGACGCGGGGCTCGAACTCACGGACCGCGAGATCGTGACCTGGCTGAAGTCGGACGCTTAACCGACTGCGCCACCCAGGCGCCCCAGAACAATTTTAATTTAAATGGGGGTAATCAGAATAGACATCATAAGAACATTATATCTGCATAAAGACCCAAAGGAGGTAATGTGTTGGGCATGTAAATATCTGGAGAAAGATCATTCTAAAGCAGGAGCATACCGATGGTCTGAGATCTCAAGAAGAATGTGCGGCATGAGAATAGTGACCGGTGGGTGAGTCAACAGGAGATGAAGTCAAAGTGGTAACAGGGAACCATCATGTAGGACCTAGTAAGGCACTGTAAGGACAGAAGAGCACTGGACTAACGTGATCTGATCATGTCTTAAATCTAGTTGTGGAAATGTGCTGAGGACAGACTTTAGGGAAGAGTTAGGGTAGAAGGAGAGAGATCAGTTGTTGCAGTAATCCACGTGAGACATGACAATGGTAGGCAGCAGGGGGCTCGTGAGAAGTGGTCCAGTTTAGATAAATAACAGGATTTTTTGATAGACTGGAAGTGAGGTATGAGAGAAAGAAGAGTAACCTCAGATGGAGATGGCTGCTGAAGGAACAAATTTCAAGGGGAAGATCCAGAGTTCTGGACATGGTGAATCTGAATATTAGACAACAAAGTGGAGAAAGTCCAATCATGACTAGAATGATCCTATCTTATATTTCTTGGGTATGTCCCACATCAAGGTAGTAAAGACCAGGCATATGATAACAAATATATGCACACTCTCTCAGCAAATTAACAACAACCAGCATTTTTATAAAATAAGGTGTAAGTAAAATCCCTATAATGTCTTCAGTTTATAATATTTCACACATTTCAAAGAATTATCTCTTATTCTTATTTCTTGATAATGCTACATCCCCATCTCTTTCATCCAATTTTCCTTAAGTCACATTTTCTTCTGGAAAACAATCATGTTATGACTATTACTACTCTACAAATGCTGTTGAATGAAATTATAAGTAGACAGATACCTTGGCTGAACTGTAGACTCACTGACAGCTTGAAGCCTTTCCTGCAAACAATGGATCTCTGCCCCATGGTTTTCTTCAGTTTCTTTCAATTGTTGCTGCAAAGAGGAGATGAAGTTTTCTAATTCTTGAACTTGTCCTTCCAGTCGTCTAATTTTTTCAGAATCTTGCAGAGCAGATAACTTGCTTTTATGACTGACATCTAAGTTATATGAAGAGAAGAAAATAAACACTTCAACAGAAATTTCTTAGTGAAATACCACAATCACTTTTTTGTGTGTGGAAATATTAATTCTTCTTCGAAAAAATAATGTTTTTTTTACTAGTAATAACTCAAGTTTCAATTTAAACTCAATTTGACTCAAGAAAACAAACAAAATGAATTGTGCAATTCAAGATCATTTCTTTAATCTTCATGTCTGTAGTACCCCTAAATCTACCAACTTTATGTCTTTAAACTGGAAACAATTTAGAATCACAGAGTAAGAAGTGAGAAGGGATCAAAGACAGCAATAGTCCAAATCTTCTACTTTAAGAATGAGAAAACTGAGACCGGAGAGATTATACTGAAATGCCCAAGGTCACGAGGTTATCTCAAATTGTAAAGTAAGAAAATCAAATGACTAAGGCACTGGGTGGCTCAGTCACCTGAGCATCTGACTTTGGCTCAGGTCATGACCATGAGTTTGAGCCTGGCATTGGGCTTGCTAATGTCAGGGCAGAGCCCCTGCTTCAGATCCTCTACCTCTCTCTCCTGCTCCTCCCCTACTTGTGCTCTCTCTCTCTCAAAAGTTAAAAAAAAAAAAAAAAATCAAATGATTAAATATTTGGTATAAAAATACTACACTGTGGCATATAATCAAAATTTACCAATGTCATGCAAATTGGTCATCTGAGAGGCTGATAAAAATTCTGTTTCCTCTTTTGGTAGATCTCCTTCTGCAACCTCAAGCTTCACATCATCTGTCTCCTGTCCATGTATCTATTGAAAAGAACAGAAAAGGAGTGACATAAATATACGATCTAACATTTTGAAAGTTATATTAAAGCAGCTTTACATTGAAAATGTTTTTGAAATCACTTAGAATTTTAATACTCTGATATAAATATTTTTGCTTCTACGTTATTCCACGCTTTCTTCTGACAGTGATTCACATTCCCTTCACAGCACTGCAATTATATTAGTAAGTGTACTGTTCTTTCATACCCAGAAAGAAGTTCATTTTAATACAAAAACAGAAGCTGCACAGAATTTTGGTATGTAACTCATCCAGTATTTGTCATATGACTTGGTCTTCGGAATTTCAACTCATACACTGTTAAATTTTATGTTAATCAATACTTGGTAATATAACTTTATGAATCTCTGGATATAACCTATGTACATCCAAGTAATTGACAAATGGTATGGTTCTTTACACAAAAGGAAGGAAAATAATGAAAACGGATGAACCTCAAGTTATTTCCTTAACTATTATAATTAGGCAGCAATTTGTCAGATGCTTAGGTGTCTTAATTTAGTTATTCATAGAATACTTAATAATCATCTACTACATGGCTAGCACTGTGACAAGAGAGACTAAGATAAAATCAGTAAAAAAAGAAAAAAAAATGTGTATCTGCCCTTACAGAATGTGTCAACTAGTTGGGGAAATAAAATTAACTAGAGAAGCACTAAACTATAATTGACTATAAGGACAATAACAGAGAAGAAAGAATGATGTGTGTGAGTAGTTATAGAGTAAGTCAAACTTGATTCAGGCCTCAGTCAGTCATTTTGGGCAATGATCAGACAGGTTATACTGAAAAAAGAGTATGAGCCATTTGTGAATGAACAGCCTAATGCTATAACTAGTAAAGAAAACTATCTTGTAAAGAGGGGTTTAATTTGGATAAGGATGGGGGAAGATGGCTATGTAAATAAGATAGATTTAGACTACAAAGCACCTTAAAAGCAAGGAGAAAGAGTTTGGACTTGCTCGGCTAGATGAACAAATAATACCACAAAAAGCAGGTGAGCCACAGGATAAAACTATTTCCCATGAAGGCTACTTTACTGGTTACTATTCTTATCAAGTCCGCTACCCCATGCCTAACCCCTAGTACAACTTCAACAGAAGACCCTGCCTCTTAATTTCCCAAAGAAAATAAAGACCATCAGGTAAATTCTTCAGTTTCCAGCCTACTTTTCCAAATATATCTCTTCACTTAATTTATTCAGCACTTATTAAACCTCTACCATGTGCTCCAACCAAGGACCACACTAAGAAGAAATAAAAATAAAGACAAGACTCCCTGATTCTGAAGGGTTTAGAATCTAGGAATTATTTTAAATAGATCATTACCTCCCCCCTTTTCGCTGTTGCCATAGTTCTTTGTACAAACTTGCATTTATTATTTTTCTTGTTATTATAATTAACAGAAAAAGGTAAATGCAGTAACCAAAGGCCAACCGAATGGAGGAAGAAATGCCTAAGTCTAGGAAGACAGGTAAAGAGGACACAAAGGAAATAACATCTGAACCAACTGGAAGAACACACCAAGCAGACTGGAGTTTGATGGCAGTGTCAGGCAGAAAAAAACCAGCATTCAATAAAGGCCAAGGTGTTAAAGATCAGGGTACATTTGGGAAACTCTGGGAGTATTTCAGTATGGCTAAAATGAGGAGGAGGAGGGTTAGAAGATGAAGCTAACAGGTTAGACAGTGATGTATTGCAGTGCTGAGACTGATCTCAACCAACCTCTGGATGCCTTTGTGGTGAGAGCTACCTTACTGGGTTAACATGTGAATTTCACTTTTTAATTTTTTTTCTGGGGAGAACTAAAGCAGTTAGGGTGGGTATCTGTGTTCCAAAGTAAGCCTCCCACATTCTGGTACAGGGGAAGGGAGGTGTTTCTCTCATCAAACCAAACTGTTCCCTACTCAGTGCCCTAAAAAGAAAGAGGCAAAATGACACATCATTCACTGACTCACAGATCCATCACTGTGGATTACTTGCTTACTATAAGCCCTCCTACACTATTTAATAGTTTCAACTGTGTATTGCCATGAAGAAAAGCAACATACTTTTAAAAGAAAGAAAACAAGGAAGGTAAGAAAACAGAAAGGAAATCTGACAGTTAAGGATTCACCACTAAAGAAAGCTTAGTGAAGTGCAAGTTGGAAGCTTGTTTACAATGGGGAGGAGAGGGGAGCAGATGGGGAAGTTCCTGCTATAGTCTATTCTTTCTTTCAAACAATGTGACCATGAAGGAGAAAGAGAACCACAAAGGAAGATGTGGCATTGAGGACCGGTTATATTCTAAATAGAGACGTGAGGAATGTGCGAGGGGAAAGGACAGAAACAGAGAAAAACACAAGCAAAGGAGCTGAAATCACAGAAGAGAGGGAAGGGACATGTTATCAATCTTGGAAGAGGTAGAAAGGGATATTAACAAAGTCACAGGAAATAAAATAACCTTGGTTATGGAAAGGAATAACTTCTGAGATAGAAGGAAAATTAATTAGGGCATTCAGAGATTTAAAGAAATACATATGGTCTAGAGGTAGCAGGCTGAGATAATTTATAATTGATAGCTCTGATATTTGTAGAGAAATAGGAGATAAGGCCAAATACAAAGGGGGACCAGAAGTAGAATATATGACTTGAGGAAAGTTGTAAAGCTGAGAAACATCCACTGAAGGGATTGTGAGAAGGTAAAGTACCACATAAAAGAACTGTGAAGTGATCCTGAGGGTCTGGCTGATGTCAGACCATGATGACATAGTGTCACCAAACCACATTTGCATCTAATTTTCTAAGCAGCCCTCAGAAACCCAAGTATGACTAGAGAAGAAGGATCCAAACCCAAGTATGACTAGAGAAGAAGGATCCCTGGAGACAGGATAAGGGCAGTAGAAAAACAAAAAAATCCAAACTGCTAAGAGTACTGGTAAGAAAATGGTATGATGATTTTGAATAGGGATCAACATCTTGGCTATGAGGGGAAGTGGAAAGAAAAGTAATTACTGTAGGGAAATGTAGAGTTAAATAAGGATTTTTATCTATCCACCTGCCCTCCTACATAGTTATCTGTAAGACAGTGGAGTAGGTTTACAGGTTTTAGAAAAGGCAGGATAGTTTATTTACTTGCAGAGGAAGAGAAAGAGAAAAGGAATGATGGAAAGGGGAAAGAGAAACAGAGGAAGACAGAAGGCGAGAAAGAGGGAGGGGAAGAGAAAGAAGAACAAGAATTGTCAAGTGATCCTGAGGTCTGGTTGATGTCAGACCATGATTACACAGTGTTACCAAACCACATCTGCATCTAATTTTCTTAGCAAACCATCCCTCATAAGCAATAGAACTTTAGCTGTGTGTCAGTTAAATCTTTCAAATCTGCCCAGTTAAGTAGAATGACATCAAAAGTACCCCAAATAAACAGACATAGAGATCCTTCTGGATTTTTTCTACAACATGAAGATCATAACACTTATCTTTGCCAATATATGCTATTTATTTTTCTGATACAGTTAATAAATTACACTATGCCATCTATATTCTCTTGCATACATTTCTAAAACAACTACTTGAAAGGAATTTGACATATCTAACACTGTGTGAAACTAATTAGCTATGTTCTAAACAACTATACTAATTCCATTTTTCTCTAAAACAGACCCGCTACTTTAAAACTGCTATATAGAAAACTAAATACAACTGCTTCACCAAGTTTACAATCTGACATTTTATATATATCTTACTTTATCAGGATTTCCAAAACTCTCAAATGGGGTAAATAGTATTCAACTTGCAGATATTCCGTTAGTTCATTGATACTATGAATATGTAACTTTTCCTTCATCTTTTTCATGTTCACTTATTTTAGAAATGCTTAGTTGATGAAGAAGCTTACAAAACAGCATGTGACACAATAAATGAAAACATAATACATTTTCCATTTCACAGACCTTACTTAATCGTGTTTGAAGTACCAAGAGTTTGTTGTATTCTTCTGTTACTTTGGTGAGAAGAGTTTGCATATTTTCTTGAAAGTCTAGATGATAAATAAACAATTATAATAATTTCATTTCACAAGCAAACTTGTGGACATCTTTGATTCTCTTTATATCACAATTATTGCATTACATAAATAAAAATGTATATTAAAAATAAGATTTCATGAATCCCAAAAGATATTAAATGACTGAATTATGATTAAAAGTAAAAGTTCATCACATTAACTGACTTAAGAAAATAATGTGGGAAGGGGCACCTGAGTGGCTCAGTTGGTTAAGTGTCCGACTCTAGGTTTTGGCTTAGGTCATGATCTCATGGCTATGAGATCGAGCCCTGGGTCGGCTCCACAATGAGTGTGGAACCTGTTTAAGATTATCTCTCCCTCTCTCTCTGCCCCTCCCCTGCTTGCACTCTAGCTCACAAAACAAACAAATAAATATTTAAGAAAAAAAAGACTGTAAGATTTTATTACCTTGAACTTCATATCTATAATCTTGCAATTCTTGTTCTTGATTTTCAGAAGTATGCACACCAGAACTCTCTTTCTCTTCTATATTTATGCCATATTTTATAGCAGGAGTATGATGTTCACCAAGGACATTGCAAAAAGTCTATTAACAAAATTAGTATTTTACAGAATTAAAAATTTTTGATTTCTGCCTCTGAAAAATCATTAAACGTTATTTTCCTATATGTAAAAGTCAAAATGGCACAGAAAAATCAGCAAGGAAACACTATTCCATACACCAAATCAGTCTGCAAAAGAAATGGTTAAATCTAAATCTTTCTCTCTCTCTAGGACATAAAATACTTCCTACAGTGGAAAAATACTGATAATCCTAACTGCACAAAACTATTTTTTCTGCTTCTAATAATGAATATAGCTTGTACTGCAATCTACCACTTTCTAGCTTGTATCTTAGATTGATGTTATCTCTGTAATGCCAACTACCCTTGAAAAAACACCAGAAGACAAGGACAGAAATTAAAAGATGATGACTAGGGGTGTCTCAGTTGGCAGAGCATGTGACTCTTGATCTTGGGGTCATGAGGTCAAGCCCCATGTTGGGCATAGAGCTTACTCAAAATAAAAAAATTATGACTGGAAAGTAGTCTATAAATTCTGAAGGCACCTGTGATGAGCACTGGGTGTTGTAAGTAATGAATCACTGAATTCTACTCCTGAAACCAATACTGCATTGTATGTTAACTAAAATTTAAATTAAAAAAAAAAATTATATGAAGTAGATCACATTCATGTACTTTTCTGTAACACATAGGTAGAATTCTATGCTTTATATGCACAAATTACAAATATGTGACACATTTATTAGTTTTTTTCTCCTGAGCAACAGAAAATTCTACCATCATTTAAAAACAACACATGACCCATAATCATTTCAGAAGCCCTCAAAATAAGTTTCACCTTTGCCCTGCACACAACTGGAAACAACTGGAAAAAACCAAATTGTTTATTACTATTTCTTGAGATTCGCTTAAAAGTTAACTATACTGTCAATTAACAACTGAGTGTATTAAATTTTCAGCAGTTTCTAAAATGGAATTTTATCATACTAGGGTTGGCAGAAACCTGAATGATCACCCCATTTACTAATGAAGAAATGGACTCAAAAAGATGAAAAAACTAGTCTATGGCAACATGATTAGTGACAAAACCAGGTTTCATGAAGAACCCCAGAGGACCCCTCTATCAGAACAAGTGACTCATATTTCAACTTGAGATTAGGGATCAGGTAAAGACAATAACAAAAGGAAAACAACATAAAGTCAGCTTATAACTTAACTAATTCGACTTGGGCTCTCTTTCCATTATTTACTGAATATCAACAATAGATACGAAAGGACAATGCCTGAACGCTTCAGAAGTGGAGGTGGACACTGCTGAGTAGCTGAATGAAGACATGCATTAGGTGTGGTTGCTTCTTACTTTTTGAGGTTTTTGCAACACTGTTCTTTGAACAATTTTATAGGTATTCAAAATCAGTAAGGTAGCTCTACCTGTCCCAACTAATACCACCCTCTTCCTCCAATTCATAAATATAAAAGCCCGGGATAGAGATTAGGGACAAACCAAAGATTATAAATTCTAAACTATTTCAAATATGCAGAAAAATAGTTTATCTATTACTTACCTTTAACAAATGGTCAATTTTGTCATATTATCTCCGTATTTTTTTAAAGAAACTGAAAATTACATATAGATTTGAAGCTCTCTATTTTAAGTACTGCTTATCCATTTTATGCACCTTTCTCTCTATCCAGAGGTAATTATTCGAGCATACGTACTTTATACTTTTGAGATTTACTGACATTAGTACAGACATCAAACACTGCTAAACGGAGTTCCAGTGCATCGAGAAAACACAATTTATTTATTACCATTGTTCATGGAAAGCTGAGTTGTTTCCCATTTTTAACTTAATAAAGACACTCTAGCAATGAACAGATCTGATTGTGCACAAATAAATGCTTGGGTTGTAGGATGTATATATCTTCAAAAATATACCCTGCCAATCTCCTTCTCAAGGTAGTACATTTCCACCAGGAGTGTGTAAGAGCTTCTATCTCACTCTAAGTTCACAAACATACTTGGCATAATTAGAGTTTTTAGACTTTGGCAATCTGAAGTGTGAAATCATATCTCATTGATCTTGTGCAATCTCCCCAGGTAAGTCAATGGATGCACTCAACAACCAAAGTTGGCAGGGGCAGGAAACAGACTTTTTTTGGGTTCTATTGGTCCACTGTTTTTTTGTATTAGGTATACCTTTTGTCTGTTCCACTGCTGAGATAATTTACTCCAATCTCTTTTGTTTCAAAAGATTATCAGAAAACATTTAAATGCTCATTTTAAAGTTAAAAACCCAGGAATATTTTCTAAGTGCAGTTCTGAAGTATAGCATTTCCTGTCTAAAAGTATTTTTTTTTTTTACATTTTTTTAATTTAATTTTTTTTAATTTACATCCAAATTAGTTAGCATATAGTGCAACAATGATTTCAGGAGTAGATTCCTTAATGCCCCTTACCCAGTTAGCCCATCGCCCCTCCCACAGCTCCTCCAGTAACCCTCCGTTTGCTCTCCATTATTTAAGAGTCTCTTATGTTTTGTCCCCCTCCCTGTTTTTATATTATTTTTGTTTCCTTTCCCTTATGCTCATCTGTTTTGTCTCTTAAAGTCCTCATATGAGTGAAGTCATATGATAGTCTTTCTCTAATTTCGCTTAGCTTAATACCCTGTAGTTCCATCCACGTAGTCGCAAATGGCAAGATTTCATTCCAAAAGTACTTTTTAACTAATATCTTACCTGTGTAAAATAAAAACATTCTTCAGACACTGCCCTGCGTAGTTTTCCAATAAGCATTTGTAAAGGCTTCACTTCATCACCTAATAGAACAGATACTGTATTAAACATTTATCTACTTAAGTACTATTATCATTTTAAACCTATGTCAACTGGAAGCTTCCCTTACAATAAGATTAGTTTTAAATTCCTTCTTTAAAACTTATTTTCCACTGCTCAATGTTAATGGTCTCAGATAATTTTTAAGATTCTCAGTTTATATCCTACAAAATGGTATGAAGTGGTGATTTACAAATTTTACTACTCCCCAATATAAGAAGTATGTCATATATTGTAACCTATTATACACATCCATGGAAAACTGAAACAAGAATTTCACAGATTATTTACTTTTTTTAAAATATACTATATGTTTTTAATGTTTCCTGTTCTACTGTATTCTTTTATTTACTAAAAAAAAAAAAAAAAATGCTGGCCATTACTCACTAACTGCATCAACCATTAGTGGACCCATTAATTAACTTATAGTTGAAAAAACCACTGGACAGATTCTATCCTTTAGAGGATATCATTAAAAATAATACATGCTTAAAATCTTATTACATTCAAACCTAAAGAACTCCTGAAGTGGAAAAATGATATTTAAGCCACTCCCTAAATTCTACTCTGTTCAACAGAGCAACTAGACAAACTTAGGAACCAGCTCATTCTCAAAAGTATATCTGTCAAGGGTGAAAACCTACAGATGTTTTGAACACAGGAAATCTACTTAATAGAGTGATTAAACAATTACTAGAGATAAAAGCTAACTACAACTAGTCTTCTACTTCAGATGCCTTATATGTTGTTGCTTCTCACAGTGCCTACTGTACAGTCTCCTAGGACATCTCATTCTTTTCTCTGGCCTCAAATGATCTTTGGATTTCCAAATCTCAATCTTGAGCCTAAACCTCTTGCATTTCAGACTTCTATTTTTAACTGCCTACTAGATAACTTTTTTTTTTTTTTAAGTCAAAAGGTATTTTTAACTCACTATGTTCCAAACTGGATTTATTATTCTTCCCATAGATCTGCTCTGCAAACTCCTCATGACTAGTCCCTCCTTCAATCCAGCTACCCAAGCTAGAAACTTACGGACCACTCTCAATTCTTCCCCCTTTCCTCCTAATATCAACTGCAGACTACAGCCTACTTCTTTGACTCTCTCTTCCATCCTCAATGACATTTTATTCAGCCCCTTATTGTTAGCAGAATTACCTCCAAAGTTGCTTAACTGGTCTTCCTAGAACTAATCACCTTCCTTACTTTGCCTCATGGTGTTACCTTAAAATAAAAATTTTACTGTTACTCCCACTACTTAAAATCTTACAGGTCCTATCACCAATAGCATAAAGTTTAAACATGCTTCAGTCAGAGTATATAAGGCCTTTTCTAATCAAGCTCCTGTCAATCTTAACAGCTTTATAGCCCACCACTTTCTCACATAACTTGAACTCTCAATTCTCCAAGATGGCTACGATCTCTCACACCTCTATGTTTAAGACTCAGGAACCTTCCCTAAAATTCCAACAACCCTACTCCTGCCTGCAACCTCACTCCACTCCTCCTCCCAGGAGGTAGAAGTCTTTTTTCCTTTTTTCTTTCATTCTTTGTAGTCATTTTTCTATTACAGAAATTCATCTATTGTTTTTTAAGAGTTTATTTTATATTGCTTTCCCACTTGATTACAACTTCTGTGGGAAAATGATTCAGTAATTTTAGATTTCCCAAGCACTTAAAAAAATGTGCAATGATTCTATGAACAGATGAATCCAGGACCTGGATATACAGTTACCTTCCTCTATGGGTTCTAAGACCAGGACAGAATCATGGAATGGTGGGCTCTAAATGATATTTACTTATTTCATAGTACTTATAATTTTTTTAGAAAGCCATTTACCTGTTTCTTGTGTTTTTATATTCTGTAGCTCTTGCTGGTGTATTTCCTGAAGTTCCTTTATCTTTTCCTCTTGGGCAGAAATAAGTTCCTCCTTAAGACTACAAAGAGCTTTATCTTTTTCATTTTCCATATATTCACGAACCTGATCCACATGAGTTGAATAAACCAGAGAGAGGCATATACGCTGAGCTTCCATCTGTAGCCTTAAATCATTCTTAAAGTGAATGTATGTACACATTAGAATACTTTTAAACAACTTACATTTTTAAAATAACTTCTATCTTCTGCATTTACTGACTACAAGGGGGAAATACATGAAATTACAGTTTAAAACTTTATATAAGAGAGGTCTAATTTACCTCAGCCGCAGCAATTTCTTACTTGACACACCCCCAAAGGCATGGGAATTAAAAGCAAAAATGAACTATTGGGAGCTCATGAAGATAAAAAGCTTCTGCACAGCAAAGAAAACAATCAACAAAACTAAAAGGCAACCAACGGAATGGGAAAAGGTATTTGCAAATGACATATGGGACAAAGGGCTAGTATCCAAAATCGATAAAGAGCTCACCAAACTCCACACCCCGAAAAAACAAATAATCCAGTGAAGAAATGGGCAGAAAACGTGAATAGACACTTCTCTAAAGAAGACATCCAGATGGCCAACAGGCACATGAAAAGATGCTCAACATCGCTCATCAGGGAAATACAAATCAAAACCACACTCAGATATCACCTCACGCCAGTCAGAGTGGCCAAAATGAACAAATCAGGAGACTATATAGATGCTG